TCTTATTGGCCTGAGAAAGTTCGGTTCATGAATGTCTCTCCTGAGCTGTGGGCCCCACAGCCAGACTTGACAGTGTGTGGGACAGGATCTGGAGTTTACCAGCTCCTGCTCTTCGTGAGAGGTGCCAGGGAAGGAAGAGATGAAGACCTGCCTCAGGACGCACAATTCCCAGTTGGCAGGAAAAAGTGGAAGAAAGTGCAGTAAGGACAGGCTATGGGCACGTGTGCCTCCAGTACCTCAGCAGGTAGAAGTTGGGCTGTTGCTTCCCAGCATCCAGGTCGGAAGCCCCAGTAGTTCCCACTGCCCACTGATACCGCTGTGTAGCTTCCCAGGCTATTGTACGTGATGGCTGGACAAGGAGCAGCGCCCTCCACTAGACCTCAGCACTGCTCTTCCAGACCAGAGGCATTTTGTGGCACCTCCCTTCCATTCAAAGGGCAGCCTCGAAGCTGGTGCCCTTCTCATATCACCCTTCCCTCGTAGCTACGCAGCTAGAGAACAGGATTGCCCAGTCTTCACTTGGCAGTCCCTTATTTAGGCATCCACAGATACACAGTACATTTGTTTTACTGACCACTGCACAGAACGATGACCTCATGTTCAGTTGTCAATGATGCATTATACGCAGGGCAGAGCCTCCGTCCTACCCCTCCCACAAACATACGTCCTGCAAGCCCCATCCACAGTATATTCCTAGCCATATAAACTTCGTATTTGGCTTCATTAAAATGTTATCCTAACCAACTACCCCAATGGTTCTGCATCAACAATGTATCTCCTTATTAATTACAGCCTATATTATCTCCAAACTTCATCAGTAACTATCTCCTTCTTGATCACTGACTAAAAATAAATAGTACCAAGAACCAAATCACAGCAACATTTTAGTGATAATTCTCTGCTTAACATTTGCAAGTTTGAAACCTGGCAAATAGTTCTTGTGTAGTTAAATGAGAGGGAAACTAATACAGTATATATTCTAATTCAAGATGACAAATGGGACATACTTGAAGATTTAACAGAAAAAAAGGCATTACCTCCTTTGCTGAACAAATTGTAACCAAAAAAAAAAAGGAAAAAAAAAATTGGCACAATCCATTTTCCCCTCCACCCACATTGATTAGTATTATATTACTCTCCCTTTATTTTTAACTGATTGACTTCCAAGCCAGATGTTTTATTGTTTTTTGTACAGTCCCTTTTCATTTTTAATACCTGGACCATCCATTTCACCTTTCAAATACTGGCACAGCATTTGCTTTTTCAGTCTTGCAGAACTGCAGTGCTCAAAAATTATTACAAATATCAACAGCAACTGTTGATAGAGTTTCTTAGATAGCTCTTTTAAAACTCTTGAATGCAAATTGTTCAGACTTGATGATTTGAAAATCTTCAATTTAAATTAGTGTGTAAAGCTTGTCTTCAGTAGCTGTTAATCAACATCCTGGAGTTATTACTGGAATGAGAATGCCTATGCTACTAAACTGTGAGATAGTAACTACTGAATGGTTTATTTGTCCAACAACCTGGCCAATTTTGTGTGTTATGACATTAAATGACTAGCAAATTGCCTCAATAACCCAAACAGATTTCATTAGCACAGCTTCCTAATACACTTCAAAAATTCTCTACCTCTTATAGCTGAGATTTCTCCTCAAATTCTTTTGTACTGTAAAAAATAAAAGTAGCTGTTTTCTGTAACCGAGGTCATTTTCACTGACAGCAGATGCAGTGAAGCTGATGCTGTCCTGACGTGAGTAAGCTGGACCCTAGGTAAAGCACCAACTTTTCTGTGCTGTGCTGCAGTTCTGAATCCTCAGGTCCATGGTGTGCTCAAGCTTCCAGACCAGGAGGGTCAGGAGGAGGATGGAAGTTGAGTGGAAGTGAGGTTATTTTCCAAAAGGAAACATGTAGGACTGAATGAGGGGCAGATGGCCAGCCCCCTCCTCCTTGGGTTTGTTTTCCTGTGTAGCTGATAGACACCAGCACTGCTTTTTCACTCTCCCCAGGACATCTTGTCTGACTGGGAAGAAACTGAAAAGCTCCATGGATTGCCCTCCTGGTACAGCCCAAAGGATGAGTTACTTGGAAATGGAGTGCTACTGCTACAGCCACTCTCTTAAGTGTGTGCAAGAGAGAGCGCTTAGTATATTTTCTGACTTAATCTGGAACCAAAATAATATCCTTGCAATTGCTGGATTCCAGCGCTATTCCTCCCTTGAATGGCCAATCCCAGCAAACAGGTGACACTAACAATTCATGAAGCAGCAGTCAGTCACTTCAGGATTGCCAGCTACCAACATGAGCAAACAGGATACTTCAGCTGTACAGCGCAGAAACAGAGGCGGTTTGCTCACAGCACAGGAGAGCACAAAGCAGCAAGTTGCTCTGTCTCAGTCCAAGTGGGAAGCAAGAAGATCCGGGACGCACTGGGCACATCTCAGCCATCACATAGCTGGTGCACAACGCAAAGACTCTGAGGACAAGAATGGTCAAAGTCTCTAACTGGATTGCAAGGAATACTTGCATAGCTTTACCAAAATGAACTTTTGGATGATCTTCCAGTGCATGGACAAAAAGACAGAAAAAAGGAAATCCAGTTCCTCTAGGCATAGCTATACGATCAGAAAACAGTGAGCTATATGAAACCACCTCACTAAAACTACATGCGCTGCAATACCATATGTATCACCGAGTGCACAGGAAGAACGAGGACTCTTTGGAAAAGTTGTCTTGTAGTACAGCACAGAAAGATGAAAATTTTCACAAAGATGTGCCAGGCTTTAATTTTGTGTTACAGATGACTGTCAGCTGCAGTGAAGTAAAGTTACATGGGTTTGTGGTGATGAAAATTTTACAGCAGCTCTACATTTTTCAAGTCTCAAAGGTTTAAATGTAAATATTCATGATCTCCACAGAGCATATTTTCCACATCAAATGGATTTTGAATATTTTATTGTACAAACCACTAAAACGATTTTGCCTGATATTTCAAATACTTGTTCACGAAAGCGGAAAATTTCAACTGCTAGAACATTCAGAAGATGATGAGCATGAAAAACTAAGTGAGCAGATACTGTTCTGTAACTGCTGTCTCTTAAAACGTAGACAGCTTAGCTGGCCATGAAAATTTCATATCTTTTACAAATCCCAGCCCTCCTGGGAAATCCCTACTTACTTGTGCCAGGACGTTCCTAGTTCAGCTTCAAAGTATTTCAAGATCACTGTGTAAGACGAAAGCACCACAAAAATCATTCTCTTGGGGTTTAACAGCCACTAAAATTGTTCAACACTGTAGCTATGCATGATCTAAGCACATTAACTGAATTTTCCATCACTTGACAATAAACTAAACCTGAATAGATGTCTCCTGTAATGGCAAAAAAAAATTTTTAAAAAATCATACTTGAAACTAATTGACTCATTTTCTCAATTATTCACTCAATAATTATGAAAGAAGTTAATTTTGAAAGAAGTCCAAATGTTTAAAAATTAGAAACTGGTTGAAATCTCTTTGACTGAAGTTATGCTAAACATATCAATGGCATCAAAGAGTTAAAAGTTAAAACCGTGACTAATTCCTGATAAATCAAATCTAATTAATAATATCTGCTTCATGTATCACATACAACGGCAGAAAAATTCAGCATATCAGTGCTAGGGATACCCTGGCAAGGAGAACAGCAAGTAAAAAAACCAAAAGTGCATTTATTTCTACTAGATTCAGTTACCAATTAATAAAATATTATAGTGATGACTCTACAGTATCGATAAACAGCCTTAGAGACAGTGGGAGCAATAGGAATAAAATATTTAGAAATAGAGCAGACGAATTTACAGAAGAATCATCTGACTTTTCACTGCTAATCGGGCAAAGCAGGAGACATCTACCTGTAAAGTGAAAAATACATCTTGAAAAAGATGGGACCTCCTCTCCAGGTCCAGCCCAAGGTAAGCGCTGGCTCCCGCCCGTGCTGGGAATGCATGCTGCAGCTCCCGCCCGCTCCCCAATGAAATGCACACCGCGATGCGTGGAGAGCTTTCCCTTTCCTGCTCCAAGCTGCAAAGGTTTAAAGGCAAAACCTTTTCCTCAGAGGCAACTGAGAGCGAGCCTCAAAGCACAGATTCATGGAGAGAAGACAGCCATTTGATTCAAGTGTGCTCTGCGACGTTTCCCCCCTCCCCGTACCCAAGTGTTGCTAAGCTATAGTGTTATGTGATGTTCAAAGAGCTATCTGTAGGCACACTAACCCTTTGTTCCGCCGGGCAGCTGAGTTGTTTCTATCGAGAAAGAACAAACTGATGCTAGATAGCCTCAGTGGTTTAAAAAACATCACTGATATAAATAGTAAATCTCTCTAAAACAGTTTTTATCTGTGGCACAGAAAAAGGCAAAAAGCAAAACCTAATCAGGCTGCAGTTCTTGTGTTGTGTGGGTACTCCCATCGACTGCAAATGGAAGCTTTCACCACAAACTTAAAACAGTCAGACCAACAAGTCCTCAGCATCACTTCCAGAGTATCTTCTGTGAAAACATCTTACCACTGCGCACGTGTTTGATAAATGAGGAATATGTACGTGCACGCACCCCACAGACGACAGCCCCCTTGTACAGACAGGGACCCCTTTCCCCTTTCCTTTCAGTGTTGTCCTGCTGTATGCATCAGGTACTGTAATTGGTACCAAAAAAATGTGAAAAGACGCTCTGTGAAAACTAAAATCCTTGAAACACAAATGAAGCTATGTGTTTAACACCATAAGCACTAAACATGATTTGGCCAGCTGATCCTACATATACCTCTTAAAGTATTAAAATTAAGGTGTCAGTATGAATAGTAGTATGCATTTCTGTGAATAACACCCCATACTATGCAAATTCCTAGACTTAAAGGAAAGAAAGAGACAAACAGTACTTATACCCTTCTTCCCTTATACAGTTAAATGCAAATTCTGCTTTACAGTCATATTCCTGATATCTCCCTGCATACACAGCTGATACGCCACCTACTGCAAACCCAAGCTGACAGTCGGAGCAATGCTAGCAGCATTTCCATTCCAACATCGTGCCGGAGCTGAATAAAGGTGCTTTTTTTAAAAAAAAAATCTCTTTGCAAGCTGACAAGAACAAAGCAAGATAGCTGGCTTTTTGTCCTAGCTTCGATAATGGAGAGAAAAATAAACAGAAGAGAAAAGGAATGCGAACAAAAGCACAGCAACTCTGAAGGCTCTGAGCAAGACAAGGACTATAAAACGTCTCTGATTACTCTGAATGTTGGTGGCTATCTATATATCACACAAAAACAGACACTAACCAAGTATCCAGATTCTTTTCTGGAAGGGATCATAAATGGAAAAATAATGTGCCCATTTGATGCAGATGGTCATTACTTCATAGACAGAGATGGACTCCTTTTCAGACACATTCTGAACTTCCTACGAAATGGAGAACTTCTTCTACCAGAAGGGTTTCGAGAAAATCAACTTTTGGCACAAGAAGCAGATTTTTTCCAGCTTAAGGTACTCTCGGATGCAGTGAAATCGAGATGGGAGAAGGAACAGCTAGCATCTCGAGAGACTACTTTCCTGGAAATAACTGACAGCCACGACCGTTCACAAGGACTTAGAATCTTTTGTAATTCTCCTGATTTCATTGCAAAAATAAAATCCAGAATTGTACTGGTATCCAAAAGCAGGCTGGATGGATTTCCAGAGGAGTTTTCGGTATCTTCAAATATTATTCAATTCAAGTACTTCATAAAGTCTGAAAATGGCACACGACTGGTACTGAAGGAGGACAACACCTTTGTCTGCACCCTGGAAACTCTTAAGTTTGAGGCTATAATGACGGCTTTAAAATGTGGATTTAGACTGCTGACCAGTCTGGATTGTTCGAAAGGGTCAATTGTTCACAGTGATGCACTTCATTTTATCAAGTAATCACAAAGGCAAAAGAAACAAGCATGCAGTCAGTAAACCTCCTTGACCTGCAGCCTCCTGGCATCACAAATAATGTATCTAACTAGCCTTGTACCACAGAGCTCGGCTGCTTATCAATTGATGCGAGCTAATGGTATGTAAATCTCATAATGACATCCATCTCTGGCTTACTTAACCTGACTGAAAATTTTATGCCTGAATTTAATAAAAATGATCTGCTAAACGTTGTAAACACAGATTGAATGCTTTATGCTATTTGTAGTAGTATGTTTTCTCGATGCTGTCTTTCAACCGGAGTGTCTAGCTAAATTTTTGTGTACTTGTATGACTAACATGCATACACCTAACTGCTGAACAACAGTGAGAGTATTTTCATATAATAAGCAGGCTTAAAATATGTTTTGCTTATACCAAATTTGGAATGGATTTTAACTGGAATAAATGGTTTTGAATGTTCATTAGTGTTTATGCTAATCTATTGTACTGAATTTGCAAAAAACGAGACTGCAAGAGGGTTTAAAATTAATCAACTTGATTTTAAAGTTAAATGGTTTCTCAACTCACTTAAAACCAAATGTATAGCTGTGTTACTACATTAATAACAATTGCCAAAACCACGTAAACCAACAAAATAACGCTGTGGGGATTAGTTCTATTAGGGGAAATGAGTTGAATCTGCACAGAATGTTAAATTTTCTAATTATATATACATATCAAATGGCTAATAAAAATATTTGACATAAAATTTCATGTAACAGGTTTCCAGTAATGACATCCTACAATGCTAAAGACACTACTTCCTACTAATCATTTATGCTGGTAAGGAAAGGCAATTAACAGAGCCCTTGCTTTGCACAATGGCTTACTAAAAGCAACTAGTACTATGAGTTTTGAATAGACCACCTGCTGGCATTTAAGATTCGTCACTCTAAGTAGTAGAATAAATACCTTCTTTCTCCTCATCTCCACTATTTATCAAATCTTTTCATTCATATTTTAAACAAAGTTTTAATAGCTTCTATGGAACAACTGTAACTAATTTAACCACATGCATTACAAGCGAGTCACTCTGCAAAAGTGGACTGAAAAATCATTGCAAAAGGCAAAAAGAAGCAGCACTAACTCTAAGTTTAAGCTTTGCCCATCATTGAACCCAACCATCATCCACAGCTCAAATGAACCCAAAATTCAAGTATAATGCTATTAAAGAAAGAAAAAACAACAAAGTTGTTTCTCAACTTTCCCAAAACATCAATTTTGTATAGAAAAAAAAAAAAATACTAAGAACGTCAACAAAATGCAGTACAACCCCTACTAGAAGTGACAACTGAGGAAAACAGCTAATACAAGACAGGCTGAGAACAGTTTTCTTTCGGATTTTAGTGGGAACAAATCCATCCTTAGTAGTACTGGGAATGCAAATGCAAGGTCCACTTATCCTTCAATGTCAAACTCTATTTCACTTGTAACATACAATAGGTGTTAACTGGGTCCCTCACCAGAGTTGAATTAAAAGAGGGACTCTGCATCTCCAGACCAGGCAGCAGTGACTGAAACATATTCCAATATGATTTTATCAAATGCAGAAATCCAACCTCTCCAGCACACTCCATCAGAATTAACCCACTGTCTAGAAACGATGAACTTTTCTATCCAGTCCCCATGCTACAGACTTACAGATCCTAAAAGATGTGGTTCCAAGTGGAACTTTTCCAAACTGAACTGTTTAAAAATCAGATCACATTTCAGGCATACAAGCTGAAGAACTGTTCATGTATCCCAAAACTTCTCTGAGTTTGTCCAAATGCATTAACTATCTAGAAACAAAAGATATATAGTAAAATACAATTCTTTACATACCTCTTTTATACTCCTAGGCCATCCCAGCTAGAACTCTATCACTGTGTGTCATCCTCCTTTCCCTGCCCACCCCCCCCAGTTATTTTCAAATTGCTATCTTCAAAAAAATCCTCATTAACCACTAATCTTGTATGCACAAGAATCTCTAGGACTTCTGTGAAAAGTACATGTGAAAGCTCCTTTAAAAGAAATCCAAAATCCTGCTGATCTTCTAGGACAAGAACTAGAAACACCATCACCCAGAACAATTACCTGAAAAGCCCTTTGTGGACACAATTCTCTACATGAGCAAGAAGTAGTGACAAGATGATCTAAAACAGCTCCATAACTAATCTACAAGTTTTAAAGCAGCATGCTCTCAGTGCTGTCAAATACACAGTCTGCGTAAGCACAAAGCCTGGAGGAGGCTGTTGCTCCTAGGATGTCAAATCATCCATTTTCACTTAAACACTTTTGGTTATAACCTTCACTTGTAATGGATCTTTGATTGAGATTTAAAATCTCACTGCAGTTGAAAAGAAAAAAGAAAAACAGAAAAAAATAAATTTTGATTTCACACAATTAATATATGTTAATTAAAATATACTGTGGTTGCTTGCCTTTTCAGTTGGGCTCTTAGGATGCCCAATATCAAGAAAACATTACCACTTTAGTATCAGAAAACAGTACCAGTTTTTCATCATAGCATGACTTCACTCAGAAAAAGCAGTAGAAAATTTGATGGTTCTGCATTTATTATAGAAAATACTTTTAGAATATCAGCCATTCACAAGCTGGTAATCACAGGTAAAATTCAAACCATCTGAAATATTTTCTAAGAATAGTCCATAGCTACTCTTCAAAGATTTACTAGAAAGCTTTTATTTGCCAGGCCTTTGGTTCAGAGTACCTACTTCCCTCTTAACCTATATAAAAGAAAGAGCACTTGAAACTCCTTTTTTTAAGTGAAAAATGTACATCTCTAATCATTAGTAAAACTAAATTTGTGTTGTTTTGTTGTTTTTTTAATTTAAAACTCAATGATTCATTTCATTAAGCACTTTTCACTGCATATTTTTATTTATTTCTGTGTAAACAACACTGACGTCTATGGCATACATGTAAAGTCATCCGCTGTAGCACTAACTTCAATCTTGTCGTCTTTTCCCATTTTCATGAGCACTCATGCATTTCTACAAGTGTCAGGGTTTGAAATTTTTACATGCCATCTCTGATTGAAGGCATGTCACTCAGCTGTTTGATTCACATAGCAGAAACAGAAGGAAGATGAGGGTGACAAAATCATTCTCTTCCCTGTTCACATTGAATAAATCCACAACTACATTGAATCACACCATATCAGCTACAATCAAGATGCTTCAAACTAGCTATAAACCTGAATAATTTTTCAAACCAGGGTGGTTTGGTGTGGTGTCTTGGTTTGGTATATGAACAAAATGACCACACTGTGCATAATGTTGCCTTTTTACTCCATAAATATATTCAATATAACATACATATATTTTGCATATGTTCAGTCACTTGGGTAGATACTTGTGTTCCACCACTGTAGGCTGTGCCAGAAAAGGTACCGATTAGTTATCTTTTCTGTCTTATCTTTAAGGTTGGAAATTCCATATTTAATACTACTATGACAATGAGAAAGCTGCAAAATCAAGTGCTTAAGTAAGAAATACTAACAGTTATTCTAACAACAATACTTTGAATATGATGCGCATGCCAAGTATTTCTATTCATTTTTCTCTCATTAAAAGTTGGATCACAATGAACTTATTCAAACAGTCCTATAAGTATCAGGAAAGAATGGCAATTTCCATAATTTCTCTGATGATCTTCAGCTACTCAGGTAGGAGTAAAAAGGAACTTCCTCCCCTTCCTCAAGGAGGGGCCTAACCTGCTCCCACGCAGGTCAGCTCTTCTTGCCTCCCTGTCCGTCTTCTTGGGTGAGAAAAAGGGCCACCAAGTAGACAATTCAGAAGGGACAGAGGGAGCTGAAGGCAGGACTGACCCCCATACACTAAAAAAAAAAAGAAAAAGAATATCCCTGCCCCTATGAGTTCCCTGAATGACTGCTCATGAAACAACAGTGTCAAATTGACCAAAATACCCATTGCATTCCTTCCTCCCACACGCGTACACACCCATCTTTTCCATTGGTGGAGAAGCCAATGGCTCTTTTATCATGCTTTGCAGTACACTGGCATAGTTATGACCTGTTTGGTTTTTTCCTACATAAGGACAAAACATAGGAGTGGCTGCACTAAGTCAGACTAAGGTCCATCTAGCCCAGTGTCCCCTGGTGACTGTGAACTGTTTCCACTCCCTGATCCTTCACATCTCTGGGCAGAAACACCATTTTTGATCCTTTGACCTTCACATCCTTCCTCTTACCTTCTCTTCCCCTAGATCACACAACTACTTTTCATTTTTCTTTCACCGTACCTCTCCCTTTCACCAGGTGGGCTGCGAGGCTTTGGTAGGGTTGGGCAGCAGCCTGACTCAAGAGGAGAAATCAGTAAAGACAGTGGCCAAAAGCAGATGCCTAGGAAAGAATGTAAGAACCAGAAAAAAACATGATGCTGCTCCCTTGAAGTATTCCCTCAGTCTCCAGCCACTTACTGCCCAATAACTTCTAGAGCCAGATGGTGTTTCTTGGAGGTAGCCTTGATGCTGTGAAATACACAGGCTGTGCAACAAGGTCGAATTACAGCTCCAGCTCCGCACCTTCCGTACCCGCTCACCCAGTAACCAGTGTTCCACAGCATCGCAATCACACTATTGATGTTTTCAAACACATCTTATTTTTAATTGTGTTTTTGCATGCGTATCTATTACAGCTGTGTGACAATTGGTCACTTCTTTTCTAGTCGTTAATATTTTAGATCCTAAAGGGGAAAAAAATTACATCATCATTTGCAGCAATCAGTGGCATTGTTATTTTCACCTCTTAAAAGGATTACAAGGTTTCCATTCAATAAGATGGGAACAGCTTAAGAAAATTATTTTCCTCCTTCTCTCCTCATTAGTATACAAGCAGAATAAGGGCAGGCAACAAATATTACAATTTAATAATGGCAGTGCATCATCCATTAATTTATTTGTGTAAAAGGGTCATGTTGCCCTAATTCTGTTGACTAATCAGTCAGGACTGGGGATGAAGGGGACAAGTTAACTTGGGCCTATGGCAAAATAAATATTATTTTCTTAGGCTAGAATTATTTCATCTTTGCTAGATTACTACTGCCTAAACCTAATTTTGTCTCCTGTCCTGCAACACAGGGCAGAAATTCTTAGATTGACAGGAAAAAGCCTACTAGTTAAAAAACTAGAAGTACTTTCATTTGGAGATATAGGCTTGCATAATTTACGAGGTTTAAACAAAAGCAATCAAGAAGGCACGAGAAATTTAAGATCAGAAAATTAACATTACAGTTTTTAATTACTTTTGAAACAGACATTCTATAAGTCCTACATACCGGTATATCACACAGAACATTGACTCAAAACACTGCCTCTGTAAATCATCATCATTCACAATAAACTGCCAGAAGACGGGAAGCACGGCAAGGACTGGGGAAGGTAGGAGGGAGATGTATGA